GTCGTCGCCGAATGACACTCCAAGAGCTCGCAACTTGGCTTCGTTAAGCTCATTGACATAGTCTCTCCAAGCTGCATAACAGTTAGCATTCCTGTTGCCTTCCCTCTGCGCGATGTAGACTTACCATTCAAATCAGGCAATGTGACTTTGTATGTATGTTGCGCACGCTCTTGAACAAGGTCCTCGGGGCTAGGCCAAGCGTCTCGACTCTGTGAGTATCCAGTAGGGACCTGGTACGTGCCCTCTGCAAGATCTAAATCGAAGCCACTGATATCGTATCCAAGCTCTTCCCACGATCTAAACATGCCCTCGATTTCGTTCTGGTTCAACGGCTTGGGCGCATGGCCAGGGCGTCCGCGTTCCTCGTCTTTGGGAAGAAGAACCATAATATTCTTGCCCTTCCACGGGATCTTCTTCTTCACCCGAGGCGTCATGCTGGGCTCTTTGATTGTCACTCTGGCCGATGCACTCCTCATTGGTGTAGTTGGCGTCCTCGCCGTGTTGCCGACAGCGGCACTAGCGCTCCGTCTGGGGGTTGTGGGAATTGGTGGGAGCTCTGGCAGGTCGCGGGCCAAGTCAGCCTTGGAGAGATCTGGACTCTCCATCTTCGCGTTGGTTGTCTCGTCTCGAGGCTTCACGTCTTCTTGCTTGAGGGTCTCAACGCTGGATCGGGTTCGAGGATAGCGAGGTTCCGTGAGCGATGCGCGCGTTAGGCGTGGTCGGGCTCTAGGGGTTCGCAGAGATTCCTTATCGTGCCAAACAGCTTCGTCGCCAGATCCTGAGCCGCTCAGTGAAGAGTGCTCGCTTCCGTCGCTGAACCAATGTCGGCCCTCAGTATGATCACCCGCCGTGTGCTGGCGAATCCAATCTTCAGTCAATCGTCGCGCAGGTCTCCGAGCGCGATTAGCGAGAACTTGAGCTGCGCTGAGGTAGGGCTCGTGCGATTCGTCCTGTCCGAGCGAAAGCGCTGGTGGAGGTCGAAGAAAGGGAGTGCTGATAGCAATGTGATGGATAGGCGAGCCTTCGGATTGATCGCTGCCAATGCTTTCGCGGCGAATGAGGTTCGTCTCTTCAGTTGAGTAGGGCGAGCCCCAGCTGGCTGTCACGTATCTCTCGTCTTCTTCGGGATTGGATTGGTTTTGACTTCTGAGAATTTCCCGAGCTCGGTCGGGGAGTCTGGGCGCGGGTAGCGAAGGCAAAATTGGGGAGGACCCAAGGTCCTCGCCGTCGGCAGCTGTGGACGTCGATGAGAGGGCGGGAGACGTTGGCGGCGAATTGAAGGATGAACGATTAGGTCCTGTGCCGTCCTGTGCGGATGCAGCAGGAGGAGAATGGGATTGCTGGGAAGAAGACGTCTTCGTGGGACTCTGTTTCAATCAGGAATGGGCCCAAGAAAAGACGTGGCGTGGTGAGTGGACGTTCAAGGTATCCGTACCACGCCGGGAATGTAAAGTAAGGTTAGGTGAGGATGCGGTGAGGTGTAGCTTACCACGGTGAGATCAGCGCAGACGATGGGAATCGTCTGCAGCCAAGTCTCTGTGTATTCGCGTCGAGGACCCTTTCTTCAACAGCCCTCAAAAATCGGCATGCACACACAACGAAGCAGGCCGCGAGAGAAAAAACGAAGGGAACGGACGGGCGCTGTCGAGGTTGTTGACAGGAATAAGGGGGTGGAGGAGAGGCGGCCCGTGTGATTGGGGATGGATGAGTGTGTATATTTGGGGCCGATGGGTGGTTTTTTTGGTCGCGACGCGTATCCGCAGGTAGCCCAGGTATTTTTTGTTAGGCGGACAGGGAAGGGGACCTGGACACAAAAAAAGGATAGCCAGCAGAAATAAGGTATTATTTTGCAGGTAGTGACCCAGTGCAGGGATTAGAGGGACGGGGGGGCCGTTGCAGAAAGGAACTGAGAGAGGGAAATTATTGACTAAGGAGCGACATGAGAAGAGAAGGCAGACAGTGGCAGCACGCGGGTACCGGACGCATCGGGTTACAGGTTGAGCTACACGTATGATGGCGATTCCGTCGATATAGCACGATGCTGCCGGCTTTGGTGGAGAGACAGATGAGAGGAGAGGATGGAAATGTCGATAAGGTACGTGTTGTGTCAGGAGCAAGGTGGTAAGTCAGTGAGGACTGGACGGGATGGCGAGGTTAAAGGCAACCTGGAAGGATACATGGGAAGCTAAGGTAAGAGTTATTGCCTAGTTTTCTTTCCGAATTTCTCGTTAGAGATGGTGCCGGCCGGTTAGGTAGGTGGTCAAGACTTAGGTTAAGTGTACTCTCCGGACGGTTCATTGGAAGGCCAAGAAAATGAAGGGACTCGATGTACATGCACAAGACTGGGAACGCGGTTTTGACAGGAATGGCAAGGTACAGGTACGCGCACGGGAAGGAGCAGGTACAGCAGAGCTAAGGCACGACCGCCAGCCGAAGACAGCTCACAAAATGCTGCCTTAGTCTCGCTACATAACTCAGTACCTACACAGTACATAGCCGTACCTTACCTTTAGGAGTACTGCCTAGGTATTTAGGCAACTTGGCAGACTTTCTTGGTTCTGTTACCTAAACGTTCGACACATTTGTTGAACAGACACCGTCAGGTCCCTCAATACAGTGACAACCACGACAGTATAGTTCATCTGCACCGGCACGAATTCGTGGAGACTCGAGAAGACAGAGGAAGGGATACCTCCGCCTCAGGCTTTCGGGTTCGAGTAAACGTGGAGACCTTGGTTCGGTGGTCCGTCACCAGTGGCACGATGGGATTGGCCGGCTTCAACTGGGCACTCCACGAAAGACAGCTGGCATTTTCTGCCTCTGACTTTCAACTTTGGGGCCCTTCTTTTCCACTGATCCAGCCAACTTGCGAGCACATGAACGAATGTCATTGGGAAAACGGGGCAGACAAGAGTGACAAGCTTGGAAGAGATGGGGCCTCCCCTGCCCGCTTTCCAATGAGATGGACCGGGGGAGTGCGAGTCGCCAGGGACAGGCTGTCCAATCCACACGATTCCACTCACCACGCACGGGGCGAAGAGGGACGACGACGGCACGATGGGCCACTCAGCGGCCCAGCTTTGTTTTAATGAGAGTCCACGGGACCGAGCTATGACCAGCCCAATCTCGCCTTGTTTGGCTGATACTCCAATACATCCAACACCCCATGATTGTACACTAGAAGGAATGTACTCTATTATCATCGACCAATTACCCCCGGAAATCGCCTCCCCTACTACTGCATCGCATCTGGAGCTATGGGTGATTTCCCGCCGGATGAGAGGCCCCGCTGCTTGGATTCCTAGACGACATCGTATTTGCCAATGGCTCGAATGTCCGGCCCGTCACGCTCGTGCTCAGATTGCCAGATTGCTTACATTATGTCTGTCTACATTGAAAGGACAATTCTGTTCGGCTGCAAGCAGCTTCCTGGATCCAAAGGAACACCGTTTTTACATAGCTACCGTTACTACATTCAGCGTCAAAGTTGGCGTTGGCATACTTATTACTTCGTCAAAGAACGCCATGCCGCCAATATCCAATATCGCAGACTCGAACTTCTAGAATAAACGTGGAAGGTATAACAAGCCATATTATGATTCCTTGTCCTATCTAGTAGTAGCGTCCACTAACTCAACAGCTTAACATCAAAGTACCACCAAAGTAAACCTGCATGACGGGAGCCCCAACTTGTCAAATTACTGCTGTCATCCGTCCGTCCATCCCCCATAATCCCCCTGAACGCACGTTTTTCTCCCACGACACTACTGCAGTTTCGGTCCAAACTCGAAAATATGCAGGTACAGATCTCCAGACCTTCATCGGAGCTGAATGTCGTCGATTCGTCTCGTCTCATCCTCGGTTTCTATCCCTTCCTACTAGATTATCCGTGAGAAGCTCTCCTGCATGTCATCGGGTGGCAGGTAAAGGTCTGCATAGTCTAATGAGCCTAGTTTTGCCTCAACCTCTTGCACTCTCCCCCTTAGCCAGGCACAGGAAAATCGCCTTTTCGATTGTGAGGTTACGATTCATTGACCCAAGACAATACTCCATATTGTCTTGCTCCCTTGGAAGCCGGCCACAAAACGCGAAAACCGAAAAAAAAAAAAAAAAAAAAAAAAGCTCGGGGCAAAAACAAAGGCAGGTTGGTAAATTCCCCGGAACAGCGTTGAACCTGGGGGACGTGTTTAATTAGACGAACGGATCTTAGTGCCCATGTGGTTTATTTCGAGAAAGAGAGCCCCTGTCGGCCGTCGGGTCGGAATCTCACTTGTTCCTACAGCTGCTACCTTTTTAGGAGAAGAATTCGATCGAAACGACTTTTCCTCGTTCTTTTGAATAATCTCCATATTTGAGAAACTACGTATAGGTTGGGGGAGGGGGGTTTGGGTTTACTAGGAGTTGGGACGCCAAGAAAGAAGTGAATCCTACCTACAGCCTATGTTGATGTCACCAGGAAGAGGCACCACTTCCTAGTCATTATCAAAAGGCAGGTATGGCTTGGAAACAGCTGCATCCAAAACTATTTTTCTTTTGATTATTTGCTATCAAAAGTGAAGGCATTCCGAGACATCATAATCACGATCACATCTCGCAACAAACGATTCTGGATTGTCGCTTCTCAATATCATCCTAGGATGTTTAGCACCATTGAAATTTCGTCATGATTTATTATTCATGGAATAAGAAGAAGAATAACCTCCACAACCTCATCAACAGCCGAGCGTCATGCCCGCCGTACATCATCCTCGATCTTTGCTTCGAGGAACCTATAACACCAAACTAATCTTTAACATGTACAGCTCAAAATCCCCGTCAACACCTCTGCCACCCCCTTTGGCTTTCTGTCCTCACTCCCTAATTCGCTCGTTCCTTTTACCCATCTCTCAGTATACACATGCCGACGTAACTCCATTCACATAGCCTCTTAAGACAGCAATACCATCGTCACCGCCCCCGCCGACAACCAACATGTCGCTCGACCATCTCAGACGAGACTTTCAAGGATCACAAAAGATGTCAAAATCTCCCACCGTACCCGAAAACACGGGGTCGCTAAAGCTCTGCTTTGTGATTGTGTCGATTGTATTTTTGCATTGCTCTGCCGCCTGGTGTTAGTATCGTGGTCCTCACGTGTGAAGGGACCTTCAACTCCAAGAGAGTAACATAAACTCACCAGCTTGCTCGTCACACTTGGTCACCTCAAACTTTTGCGGCCCGTTGTTGGCTGCTTGTGAGCACTTGTTCTTCTGGTTGTCGCAAGATCGGCCCGCGGCGGTGTTGAAGTCGGGCTATAACCGAGCACGCATTAGCACGCTTGCTTCCCATAGCAAACGCACTCCCTTTTCCCCCTCTGTCTCCGGTAGAGAACGTCGGGGATCACGCGGAAGAAACTCACAAAAGTATCACCGTCGACCTCGAACGGTCTACTAGGGTCATTTGACTTGGTAATCTGTAGCCAAGCCACAATAGTCAGCATACAACGTTCCGTCCTACGATTCCCTCATCCTACTCCTGAAACAGCGCCACCCATTGAACGCCACACCGAACCTCTCCCCGGAGCTAAGTGTTTGCGCCCCCCTTGAGGATCTCGATTCTCGCTCGAGTGTTGAGGAGAAGAGCATCCCGAGAGATAGAGATGTAATCACATACCGCTGACGCTTGTACACCGCCCAAATTCCCCTCGAAAGTCTGCAGGTTCTGTGTCGTCTGCCGCGGCAGTAGGCCATACTTCCATCCCATGCGCATCTCGTCGCCGAGGTCCATCGCCAGCACACCCGCCGCCACCACGGCGGCCCCCGATAGGACGTTGAAGAGAGTTGACGTTCTCATTGCTTTCTCTCTGATCTTTGTCATGGACCGACAGTGGTTTGGCGTTTCTCGCTCGCTTTTGTGATGTCCTTTCGGATGTGATTATCGGGTTTGCTCTCCTTCGGATTGATTAATTGATCGCGTTGGTTGCTTTCGTCGAGTATCGTTGCTCTGTGATTGTGATCGTAACCCAATTGGTATCTCTCCCTCTCGTGTCGTAGATAAAGTCTCCTAGCCCCGTCCTTTCACCAGCTCGTCGGATTGAAGTATTAGAAATATGTCGTTGTAATGGTAACTCCGAGGCTCAACCTCGTCGAATCGTAGTATATAGCGTCGTCAACGAAGCGCAGTAGGAGTTGTAGTGTGGATTGGCGACGCGCAGCGCTCGAACGTAGAAAATCGTAACACCGAAAAGACGTTGGAGGAGTAGAAAAATAAAAAGGAACAACCCAACGTCCGTTCCTTAAACCTTAGCAGCACTTTTTTCCGATTAACAGGCGCCCGCGGCTGCGCTGCGACACATGCACGGCACGGGAGGGGGAAGGTAGGTATTGGAACTGGGGCCTTGCAGCAAGCAGCAAAGGGAACCTGAAACGCGGAAAGAGATCCAACCACGGCTGCCCACAAAAAGCTGGGATGCAACACCACCGCAACACCACCACAAAGCACACCCGAAACACCACTGAGACGGGGAAATCATATTACGGATGGCCTAGCTTTGCTGTGTCCACGTGATATTGCCCAGACGGGACGGCAGCCGAAAAGGACGATCATGCTGGCTTGGAGACATGGAGTTCATCAGATGGCAGTTGGCCCCCTCAGATGACGGCCGATCATATCGGGAAAGATAGAATGGAATAGAGTTCAGAGGGAGGAGGGGCTGCAATCAGTCGGTTGAACTCAGTTCTCTCCCTCAACCCCCGGCCACTTCAGCCAACAGGCTTCACTTGCGTCATTTTTGCATGTGGTATGTGCTTCTTCTTTGCCTTTCAATGTTTGTTTGAATTGTTTGAAAGTTGGTGGTCCTGATATTAAAGTTGTATCTTAACGTACGTACAAGCCGACGGGCCTAGAAGGCTGCCCATCAGACTTGCTTGTTGCGGTCTCTGCCATGTGTCTTTGCTGGTATCGATGCCCTGTCCTGCTGCGCGACTCGTTTGAAGCCCCACACTAGTCCAGTGAAGTGATCATCCTAAGCCCAGCCGACAAAGAAGAGTAATTTTCAGCCTTCTATGTACAAAATTCCATCCATTAGTCCGGAGACCTTGCGATATGCAACCATGCCTGCCATGATGATCTGGCGGCCCTAAACTCCGCATGACTGGTGGAAAGGCCAGCGTAATAAATGAGTAAAAAGAGAAATCAAGGAGTGTGGTATCCGTGTGGAAAGGACTGGGGAATCAACGCTTTCTGTCGCAAGAAACAATCATTGGAAGTCGCAACAACAAACATCTTTAAAAGTTGGACGATGCATTGACTTGTTGGTTCGGCGCGTGGTAGCTTTCGAGAGTCGACTGGAAGGGAGTACGGCCGGAACCAGATCCCTGGGCACTCCCGATCTCGTTCTTGGGCTCGTTGCCGTACTGGTTGTTGTACTCCATGAGGCCATCGTTCTCCTCAGCCTGCTTCTTCTTGCCCCAAATTCTCCAGGCAACAAAGCCCAGGGCACCGAGAACAATGGCGCCGCCGACACCAACAACGACACCAATGACAGTCTTGCGAGTCTCGGACGACATGCCAGAGGATGAGTCTCCAGAGTTTGCCTCATTAAGACCGGGCGTGCTCGTGACGGTGGCCTCAGAGGTGAAGGAAGTTGCGACACCAGCGGAGTTGGTGGTGGTGATGACGGTCTTGATGGTGGAGGTAACGGGCTCGGCAGTGGTGGAGTGGGTGGAAGAAGCGGCACTTGCGCTGGTGGTCCCGTCGTTGTTGCTGCCAGCAGATGTGGTGCTGGTCTTCAGGGTTGTAGGAGCAGCCGTGGCTCCTGGTGTTGTGCTTGATGCAGGCGCATTGGCGGATGTGGTCGGGTCGGCAGCGGGAGATGTGGTAGTGACAACGGCGACGGTGGTGCTGGTGACCGGAGCAGCAGTCGTTGTTGTAGTTACGGCAGCAGCAGATGTGGTGGTTTGAGCAGCGGCAGTCGATGTGGTCTCGGCACCGCTGGCTGTTCCTGATTGTCTCTTAAGGAGGCCATCGCGGGGCTCGGCTTTGTTGAAGTTGAACCATGACGCCTGAGCGACCGAGGCGAGGGCGAGGACCTGAACGGCGCGTTGGGGATGCATCGTGACTGTGGTGGATGACGAGATTCACGGTAGGTGGTGCTTCAAGAATGGATATATCAAGTCAGCCGACTGTAGAAATAATTCTCTCGGTCGGTCAGATAAATTGAAGAATCGTTCGTTTGTGTGCCGACAACCAAATTCTTTGGTGGTGGTGTCAAAGACACAGGGTTCTGAGATGAGTCGAGTCGGTTCGTCTGGAATTCTCGGAAAGTTCTTACGTGCCGGGTGGGTACGAAAATAGGAGGGCGGCACGGGTCAGGGTAGGAGGACGGAAGCGACCGGTAAGTTGACAAAAGGTAAAAGGCGATTTTGTGTTGGTTGTGACGCGGAAATCACTCGGAGTAAAACGAGAGGAATGAATCAAAGGTGACGATAGGGAAAAGCGAGTGAATGGTTTTTATGAAGTGAGGGATGAGTTGGGATAGGTTTTGAGGGGGGTGGTCGTTGGAGTGGAACGAGCGGGAGGTCAGAAAAACAAGACTCGTATTCGAGCTGGAGCGGCGTAAGAGGGTGGTCAGTGTGAAAAGGCAGGTGCGGTTGCCAAGTGGGCAGTCACTGGTGGGTTACTGTGTACGCAGTAGAGCGCTGGGGACAGGTCCACGGGTCCAGGCAGGTACCAGGGATGCAGGGCCGGGCCACTTCTTCTTTCCTCCGTCGCACTGTTCGTGACCCGTGTGGTGGCTGTTCTTGGCTTCTTCCTGGGCCAACAAGCGTCAGAAAAGGGAACCTCAAGTCTCCAAGCAGAAAACTGCCCAGCAACGTTGCGCAGGGGGGGACAGAACTTAGAGGTAGGAGGTCGAGCCGGTAGCGACCGGGGTGAGTGGCTGTGGATGCTTGCCAGATTCTGGTGCAAGGGACAACGTGGTGGCGGTCTGCCGGCCTAAGACATCAGGTTACCCATCTCAGATTTGCCCGCTTCTCGCACGATGAGAACTTTTGATTGGCCAGACGGCTTGAACCCTGGGCCCGACACGGGGCACTGTGGCACACGACTATCAATGCTAAAAGGTACGTACACAGTACGTCTCTCTCGTTTCCTTCGTCTCTCGGCGAATCAGAAATGGCTTCACCCTCAGACCCTTCGTTGCCCTCCTGAAGTCTCCCTCACCCTCACGGCCTCACCTCTCGAAATTTACACGGCTCAGCCTCCAGCTCACTGCTCACGACCCTTTGCTCAAACGCTCAGTCAAATCGTCTATTCGCCGCCTCCAACAGTCCACGACATAACCGAGGATACCGCCGAGCCTCTTAGGTCAGTGGGAGTTGTTGGATCACCCCAAGGAAGCAGCCCAGCTGTCAGCAGTCTTTAGCGGCCGAATGGTTGGTGCCCATGAAAAACGGCTTGAACGGCCCCTTCTAGCCCGTCAGATGGCTCCAGACTTGAGAGACTGGTCCAGCCCGCTGCGACCGCTGACTCTGCCGCATTCCTTGTAGCGGTTGGCGCCGACTGAGGTGTTTGCCATCAGGAGCTTTTCTCTGCAAGCCGCAAGCCCCAAACGTTTGAATGCAGCAAACCGATTTTGCATGGCGCGCTTTTCCTTTCATCAGCAGACAATGAACATCCCAAAAATAACCATGGTCTGTCTGTCTATTGTTCAACAAAAACTTCTGTCGACAGCAAAGAACCGTTGACTACACCACTGACATAATGCAGGACACCATGAACTGCCGTTGCAGTCGCAGACAACCATGACGATGACGATGGGATAGGCATCAGGCTTTGTGCTAGTCTGTCTAATCCAGGATGGAAAGGAGCGACAATCATATGGCATGTGCCGTTGGGTCAAATCCTTCATAGATGCTTAAAACCAAGCATCAGCAAAAGCAAAGCATACAAACGCACACATGGATCGTCAGCCGGCACCAATGGAACGATGGCAAAAAAAAAAAAAAAAAAAAAAAAAAACCAGGGCAATATTGAAGCAATGAAGCCACTGGTTGTCCCCATCCACGGCAATGCAACATGCCTGCCCAGGGCCGATCTTGTCTCTATTTTCAGCATCGACCCGTCGCTCTTTGCTCCAACCGCCTCCGCTTCTGCCAGCCTGGCGTGCCAAACCCGGCCAAATCTCCTTCAGGGTCTTCCAAGCACGTCTCCACCGTCCCCCGGGCCCCTCCCAGCATTCGTCATTCTTCCCGGCCCCGTCCAAGAATCCGGATTCCACAACTTTTTCCAGAACTCGGCATTCGTCGTCGCACCACGCATGCCCTACCGTACGCAGTATGCTAATATGGATGCCGACAACAACCCTAGAGTATGTGAGGGGTCAATGGGGAAGGGGTCAAGAATTTCTCGGACGATGGGCATCGCCTCACTGGGCCATAAGATTTGCCTTCCGCGGCGGCCGACGTCAGTTCCGCGCTCGAGGGTCTTCGCAATTCACCGAGGGCCCCTGCAACAACAATCAACAGGACTACTGTTACAGTACGGCCTGCAGGATGACGATGTTAAGAATACCGTTCAGACTGCGCCCGAAGCATCTCGAACTGTCAGCGACAGCTCTGCTTCAACCCTTTTGTTGGCATGCAGCTGATGCCCCGTCATGCGTCATTTTCCCACCCAATGGCCAACCTCCAGATGAACCACCCAGCTAGCAGCTGTTTGAAGGAAACTGAGAACTCAACGAGTGCGTTTCGCCTAGCTTATACAGTTCAGGGTACCCTTTATTCGAAGCTCTGTTTCCTAGCGCCCTTGTCATGGGTTCCCCTTCTTCCCACATCCCGGCACAGTGTCTACGCTCCGTCCATGGAGGAGACTGGAGACCCTTGCGTACGGATACAGAGCACAAGAGGCAACCGATGGTAGAAAGATAATCCGTCCGCAGCAAGCATCATTTCGGATCCAGGTCTGCCCTTCCGCGGATCTCGGCGTCGGAGGACCCGCCTACTCACGGACACCCGCATAGTGCAACGGTGATGTGAAGCATTGCATTCCAGCTTACAGCCTCCCGGTGTCAACCCACGCATTGAACCCTTAATCGTACACTAGAAGTGTGCGTCGCCTCTCGATACAGTGATACGATTAACCAACCATACAGCGGTGAATATCTGGAGACGAGATTGCTTTATTTACCAAAGTCCCTTTGCGTGTCTCTCCTTGAACTTTTTGCATGTTTCAGCGGGGAGTTTATAGTAGTCGAGCTGCCTATGACAGCTAGCTTAGGATCTCGCCCGCAGGTGAATACATCATCAGACGGTAATCATTTAGGTGTTTCATTCTGCAGTCTACTTTAGCACTCTTTTGTTGACTTTGCTATATTACTGACGAGTCTCGCAACCCGAAAACATTACCTGAGCCAGAACTCGCTTGTATTATCAAAAGACCTTGCAACGCCGCAAAAATGTGTAGCAGACAGGGCGATGGACCATTTACAATACACACGTCATTGCTGTTCAATCCAAGGAAAAAGACCTTTGACAAGAATATCTCGATTGTCATCGATCCAACGAACGGCGCCATTGCAGATGTGTATGACCGGCAGCGATCCAAACATGTCGAGTTGACAAGTCATGATATAGATCTGCGAGGGAAGGTTGTGATGCCAGGATTTGTCGACGCGCATACACACGTGTTTCTTCATCCATACGAGTGAGCCTCATCATCGTGGCACAAGGTCCTTGATTCATCTAACCTTGGCTAGTGAGGCTTCATCGACGGTCCAGATGCGCGACGAAAGTGTCGTCGAGAGAATCGTTCGTGCTACAAATCATCTCCGTGTTGCCCTTCTGTCCGGTTACACCACATACAGAGATTTGGGCACCGAAGGGCTGCGCTCATACGACGCAAACCTGAGAGACTGTGTTAACCGAGGTCTGGTACCCGGCCCGCGACTCTTCGTGGCCACCGAGTGTCTCGCCAGCACTGGGTCCTACCAGGTCCGTCACGAGAACTCGTGGGCGAAACTACCGCGCATTTCGGACCCGTGCGACGGTCAGGTAGGCGTGACACAGGCTGTCCGGCGTCGTGCGGCCGATGGGGCGGACATCATCAAGTTCTACGCGGACTATCGGCGCAAGGTGATGCGATTCCCAAATTCAAAGGAACCGATCCCGTTTCTTCCCTCGGAGCCCAACCCGACTGTGGTGATGTTTAATCAAGAGGAGATGGACGCCATCGTCAAGGAAGCCAAGCTAGGCGGGCTACCCGTGGCGTGCCACGCAGGGTCAGCCAAGGGCGCACTCATGGCTATCAAGGCCGGCGTCGACACCGTTGAGCACTGCCAAGAGGCCACCGATGAGGTCTTTCGAGAAATGGCGCGCCGTAGTACCATCTTCGTCCCGACGCTCGGGATCATGAAGACTTCGCCTGATTTCAGCAGCATCGCGAAGAAGACCAAAAGGGCACACGACCTCGGTGTGCGTCTTGCTGCCGGGGGCGATACCGGAACATTTCCTCACGGGGAAGGTGCTTTTGAAATGGAACTCATGATCCAGGCCGGGGTTCCCGTCGTGGATGTGCTGGAAGCATGTGTGATGGGAGGCTGGGAAAGCTGTGGTAAGGAGAAGAGCGGCTTCTACTTTGGTTCCATCGAGAAGGGCTACCGAGCCGATATCATTGCCTTGGACGCGGACCCGAGAGAAGACGAGGGAGCCTTGAGGAAGGTCAGCTTTGTCATGAAGGACGGCAAGGTCTGGAAGAAGGACGGGCGAGCAGTCGGCTTCTTCGATGAGCAGACGGTTGATTCGAACCCCAGCACCGATGAGGAGTCGGATTGGACTTTTGTTTGACATGGCGTCATATGAGCTTCATTGAATTCGATTAGTCAATTGCTTGACCGCTCCAACTGGCCGTGATGAGCAGCAAGGTTACATTGCGCTGGCCGGATCATCACCAACAGGCGATGGATACGAGCTTGAATGCGACCAGACAGTCGTAATCAAAGAAATTCTGGCCTTCGGCACTTGATATATCGGGAAGCCCGGCTCTGCGGACAATAAACGGGCATCGCGTTAATTGATCTCGAGATAGGTCACCGGAGACGATCATCACTGGCTCATACGCCTGTTTTCCGTCGCATTTTACAGTCGGATCTGCCTCCGCACACAATCGGCCGAGATTATTCCTGGTAAAGCAAGTCAAGGACGTCAAAGGAGGGGTTGTTGGAACCGCTTCCTCCACATGCTCCAACGATCGCTACCACGTCTCCGCACGGCTCGCGCGGGCTAAGCCGGCGAAGCTTAATCCCCAGCCAACCTCTTTTCAGGATCCGTCGTACTTCGAGGCTGCAGAAATTGGCTTGCATATCGTGGACCAAGCTTTCCTCAGCAACCGGGCATCGGACGATCGTTTCGTATGCGAAGCTAATCGCACCTGTTCTTCCGGACATGCCCATATCATGCTTCCAGTGCCGCTACTGCATGTTGCCGGCAATGGAGGAGAGGGGAAAGGGACGAACGATGGGCAATACTACGCACACCTCAACTATCCGCATCATCTGCGCATGATCGAACGGCGCTAGAGCACCTAGAAGGATATTGGTCTCCGGATGACTCTCAGGGTTCGCGCAGCTGCAAATGTCCGAGGCTATGACTTTAACAATTATATCATGTACGGACGGCACCCGGGTGATCTCTTAGTCCCGTCCTTTCACCCTTCTCTCCCCCATTTGACAGCCGCCACCCGGGTAACCTGTCAAACATGAGGCCGTCTCTATTCTCCATCGCCTCGCTAGGCCTCGGGCTATGCTCCGCCGCATCCGTGGCGAGCAGCCTCGCCGCAGGAGTTCGTTCGTCTCTCGCTCTCGCTCCCGTAGTAAGAGTCCTGGACGAAAAGAGAGACCAGCTCCAGGACATCGTGACATGGGACGAGCGCTCGCTCTTCGTCCGCGGCGAGCGGGTCATGATCTTCTCGGGCGAGATCCACCCTTTCCGCCTGCCCGTCCCGTCGCTGTACCTCGACGTCTTCCAAAAGGTGAAAGCCCTTGGCCTCAACACGGTCTCCTTCTACGTCGACTGGGCGCTGCTTGAGGGCAAGGCCGGTGACTTCACCGCCGAGGGCGTGTTTGATCTCCAGCCCTTTTTCGACGCCGCGACCAAGGCGGGCATCTACCTCATTGCGAGGCCCGGCCCGTATATCAACGCAGAGGCCTCTGGCGGTGGGTTTCCGGGTTGGTTGGCGAGGTTGAAGGCGAAGCTGAGGACTTCGGACCCCGAGTTCCTTTCTGCAACGGACAAGTAAGGCCTTTTGTAACTTGAGGGAGTTCGTTGGTAAAATCAGTAACTGATGATGGTAACCAGCTACATGGCAAATATTTGCGGCATCATCGCCAAGGCCCAAATCACCAACGGTGGCCCAGTCATACTCTTCCAGCCAGAGAACGAGTACACCAACTTCGAAGACGGCAGTAGTGCCGATGGGCCGTACTTCCAGTATGTCATCGACCAGGCTCGCAAAGCTGGGATTGTCGTTCCCCTTATCAGCAACGACGCCAAAGCAGCGGGCCACAATGCACCGGGAACGGGTGTAGGCGCCGTTGATATTTATGTAAGCCACCCTGAAGTTGTCATAGAGACTTAAGACTAATACGTTCTGAAGGGCTTTGATGCGTACCCGCTTGGATTTAACTGTGTGCGTAGCATCCTGAAACCCTTCCTCAAAAGTCTAGCAAATGGAACTGACCGCCGAGGTGTAGGCAAACCCGAATACGTGGCCGGATAACGCTCTACCAACCACCTACCACGCACTACACTTGCAAACAAGTCCAAGCACGCCTTTCACGATTCCAGAGGTAGGCCTGCAAAGGAGCAATAGAGAGACGTTAGCTTACTCGTTGCAGTTTCAAGGAGGTTCCTTTGACCCCTACGCTGGGCCTGGGTTCGAAAAGTGTGCGGCGTTGGTTAATCACGAGTTTGAGCGCGTATTTTACAAGAACAACTTTGGAGCTGGTGTCACTATATACAATATTTATATGGTAAGTTACTTCGAGGTAGGGGGAATGAGAGACCGAGACTGACGAATAACTAGATCTTCGGAGGCACCAATTGGGGTAACTTGGGGCATCCGGGAGGATACACGTCGTACGATTACGGCTCCGTGAGTATAAGGCAGATTGATTTGTTCTGTTAGACTCACTGACGCTTTTCAAGGCAATCACGGAAGAGAGAACTGTCTCGAGGGAAAAGTACTCTGAGCTGAAGCTCGAGGCACAGTTCTTAAAAGTTTCGCCCGCATACCTGATTGCAACGCCTGGAAACTTGACCGTCGGTGTATACAGCGCAACTCCAGACATCACGGTAACACCTCTGCTAGGTAACGGGAACGGCTCGTTCTTCGTGGTGCGGCACGGCAACTACAACAGTCTTGCAACGACCGATTACACGCTTCGTCTGCCCACGTCGCAAGGAACCATCACGATCCCGCAGTCCCGCGATCTGCTGCAACTTACCCGCCGTGACTCGAAGATAGTTGTCACGGATTACCCGGTTGGGAACACGACTATGTTGTATTCGACAGCGGAGATCTTTACCTGGAAACAGTACAAGAACCAGACGGTTCTTGTCGTTTACAGTGGACCTGGCGAGACGCACGAGATAGCGATCAAATCGACCACGACGCCTGTCCTCGTTGAGGGCACCAGCGTTGATCACAATTATGTGAACAACACTCTGCTTTTGGCATGGGAAACATCAAGCACTCGACGGGTAGTGAAGGTTGACAACCTGGTCATATACATTTTGGGTAAGTACACCAGCTACTTTGCACCACCTTGCGACTAACACAGAGAAGACCGCAACTCGGCATACAACTACTGGGTGTCAGATAAGCCCAGCGGAAGCCAACCGGCGTACGGCACGTCCATTATGAATCCAGACTCTCTCATCGTCAATGGCGGGTACTTGGTAAGATCGATCTCGATACAGGATGGCACTCTTAGAGTCCAGGCGGACTTCAACCGTACCACTGAGATAGAGATCATTGGCGTCGAGCCGGAAGTCACCAAGCTGGAAGTCAACGGCAAGCAACTGGACCACACAACGAACAATCTAACCAACTGGATCGCGAATCCAGCCTTCGCGGGTGCCGCACCCACCGTACCGGACCTCAAATCACTCAACTGGACCTTCATCGACTCTCTCCCTGAGATTCGCGCAGGCTACGATGACTCCGCGTGGCCTCTCGCCGACCACAAAACCACAAACAACACAATCGCCAACCTCACAACCCCCGTCTCCCTCTTCGCCTCAGACTACGGCTTCCACGCCGGCACGCTCGTCTTCCGGGGCTACTTCACCTCAACTGGCACAGAAGACAAGCTTGACATCACAACCCAGGGCGGCTCCGCCTTTGCGAGCTCCGTCTGGCTCAACGACACCTTTATCGGCTCATTCGCCAACGGACCTGACGCCGCGGGCGATAATGCCTCCAATTACACCCTGGCCAACCTCACCGCGGGCGCAACGTATGTTCTGACCGTCCTCGTCGACACTACTGGCCTGGAGGAGAACTTTGTCATCCCTGCGGACGTGATGAAAACCCCGCGCGGGATCATGGACTACAGCATCACGTCCCCCTCCGGCGCCCAAACGAACGTCACGACGTGGAAAATTACGGGGAATCTCGGCGGCGAGGGCTACGCCGATAGGGCTCGCGGCCCGTTGAATGAGGGCGGGCTCTTCATTGAGCGCCAGGGCTATCACCTCCCGTCTCCACCCGAATCGGCGCTCAACACACAACGCTCGCCATTCGAAGGGACAGATGTGCCCGGTGTGGCATTCTACGCCGCGAAACTGGATCTGCAAATCCCCGCTACGGACCTCGACGTGCCCCTCTCCTTCGTCTTTGACGACATCGCAGCGTCAAACGGAACGGGTGCGTACCGCGCCATTCTGTACGTGAACGGGTTCCAGTACGGGCGGTACGTGAGCAATATCGGTCCGCAGACCAGGTTCCCCGTGCCCGAGGGCATACTCCGGTACCAGGGGACCAACTACATTGGTCTGGCCGTCTGGGCACTCGGCAACGTTGGAGCTCGCGTGCAGAACTTCCGACTCGATGTCGGCGAGGTGGTGACGACTGGTCGCGAAGAGGTCAAGGTTGTTGAGGCGCCAGCTTGGAGTCAGCGGGCGGGTGCATATTAGGACTATTTGGTGGACACTTTTTCTTTCTTGTACATTCGTAGTACATACAGCCCTGTGGTTCAAGCAATCAAGGTGTTTGCAGATCAAGCTTCTATTCTTATTATGATCGTGAGAGTGCGTAGGCGTTCTCGGCAGGAACTGTATTTCTGTCTATTCGATACAAGACGAAAGAAAATACACTCTCGGTCATCTGGCGTCTTAGAGGTCATCAACGAGAGGACTAGGTCCCTGCGGCATCCCAATCTTATCCTCAAACATCATCCTCAGAGCCTCCACCCTACCACGATCCGACATGAATCGGAGATACTCGGCAGAGTTGGTTGTATCCATGTCGAGGATCCCGGGGTAGCCGCCAGGCGCCGTGATATCCTTCCGAGCACTCCACTGAGAAGAATTGCGCTGGAACCCATCATCGAGGAGGAAGTTGGCAAACAGCTTCGAAGCCTCGGGGTGCGGCGCGTCTTTGAAGATAGCGACGGACCTCGGCCAGCTGACAAAGAGCCCCTCCGTCGGGAACGAGGCGTTGAGGCTGCCCGAGGACCGAAGACCGATGCTGGCGGTGAACGTGACGGACTGTGTGCTGTTGGGCTGGCGCAGGACAGCCAGGGGCGATCCCGTGCCGCGGACCCAGCGGGGCTCGTTGGCGAGGAGGCCGTCGAACCACTCGGGACCATACTGGTGCATTCTGGAAGAAGAAGTGAGCACTCTGCCATTTCGAAGAAAAGGAGCGTCTGAGAGTATCTTACACGAGGTCAAAGATGTACGCAATGGCATCGTCGTCACTGGGGTGCGTCAGGACAATCTTGCCCCTATACTCGGGCTTCAAGAAATCCGGCCACTCCCGCGGCGGGTTCGCAAGCTTCTGCGTGTTCCAGACAGTCGACCATGCATTCATCGCAAAGCCGTAGTACGCCGCGCGCACATGACGAAACGGCGCCAGCACCTTGAGATAGTTATTCGGAGCATAATGCAGGAGCGATCCCTGCTGCTCCCAACGGGGGTAGTCCTGCAGGGCCTGGAGGATGATGGTGTCCACCTCGAGAGGCCTGCCCGAGGCGAGCTGTCTGTCGACGTTGACGCTGTGGTACTTGGAGCGGTTGACCGTGATGTTGAGCGTCATGCCCGGGAACCGGGTCTCGAAGGCACGCTTGAGGCCGTCTTGTTGGGTGACTTCGTCGCCGCCGTGCCAGCATGTTACGATGCCGCCTTCAGCTAGGGCGGCTTGGTAGATTTCGTCGATGGTGCGGTTCTCGTTGACTTGTGGGGTGTTGAAGCCGAGAGAGATGTCAGCCGCGGAGACTTGCTGGGCCAGGAGAGCACACAGCAAAGGGAGTGAAAGACGCATCTTGAAATGGAGGGGTGATTGATGTGAAAGCAGTTGATGAGATGGTGCATTGTGACTTGATGTTCGTCCGATGTCAGTAAACTTATACTCACGAGACGATGATCGTTATCAATACACATGATGGACTAAAGGCTGAGTACTTGGCGAACGCGTAATGGTCGAGCTTAGCACACGAAGGCTATGGCTTGGCGAATGTAAATTTAGTGAAGCTGCCGTTCGTCCTTGGATCTCATCAGGCCATTGACAAGGTCGACGTCGACTTTGTTCCTCTACGTTTCCATGATCGGCTAGAGGCTACTCGACTACTCGGATAAAGTTGCTGACACTAATAACGGTTTTAAGCTTATGGCCGGAAATCGACTGTAGCCCAAACAACTACGCCTGTAGTAGATCATCCGATTAATTAAGCTTAATCACTAGACTACCTACATCTGGTCCCTCACAACTGTAACGGCGCGCGGGTCTTGACTCAGGTTGGGAACAGTTGCATAGAACCCGAAAACGGTAACAAGTCGCCGTAAATCAGAGTTTACAAGCCCCTTGAGCACTGCCTCCGTTGACATAGTCATCGGGCGTCTCTAATCACGACTAGTATACCGTCGGCCAATGAGAGGGTTTATTCATTCTCAAACAGGCTAATTCCCCAAGGACGATGCTCGCTACATTCTTACATTGTGAGGCGGCTTACTGAGCAAGTCGTTACAACAAGGTTTGGTAACGGCTATGATATCTACCGGACGCTGAACCTCTCGGTCGGCTCGGCCGAATGCATAGCACCTTTCTCACGGAAACCGATTCCAACATCGGACTTACAATATGTACGGTTACGGTGAAGCAAAACAGTCGTAATGTGTTGACTGTGCTTGAGGTAGACGGAAGGCTTGGCGGCGAACACCCCAGCCACCTCATGGCAGCTCGGCTACATGGTAACTGTCGAAACATGCTAGAATTCCCAAACTTCTCGTCCGGTATCTCAAATCGTGGCTCAATTAGCCTGGCCAGACTGTTACTGTATCAATCTACCCCACGCATATGTGCTAAGCGGAGAATGCTCAACGTACGTCTCCGGTGTCTCCTATCATCGCTGTAAAGTTAAAAGAACGAAAATGCTGAACAGAAATAGTTTGTAGACATATATTTGCGTCATACGATGAAGGTTCAGGAAGGTCAAGTAAGAAAGCTCGATGAGCAACCCCACGCCGGGAGCTGTGGCGGCACATCTGACAGTTGGGATGGCATTGCTCAAGGGCAGAACGTGTCGATCCCGGAAATAAGCACAGTAGGGCGGCAACGCAAAATTGCGGACGTTGGATGCTCGAAAGTGATAGAAGAAGGCTGAGCCTGTATTGTTAGGTAGAGTATCGGGATCGAGGAATGCATGGGGTTGAGGATCCAAAGTTAACATTTGGTCCGTCAACAATCAGCAACGCGCGCGTCTTCCGTGACCTCTTCTGGGCAACTTGATCTTCTATCGCAACATAGCCGTTGCCTACGACTTTGTTGCTCAAGCCTATTCTTTGTTGGTCGCTGCGTGTTCATCAGATAATTGAGGATAGCTACAAACAGAACGAATGCTTTAAGAAGTGCAGCAGTAAAAACATGCCGCCTCGGCTATGGCATCAATGTATCTTTACGTCTATGAGGGCAATGTTTTCTTGTCTTCCATAACATCTACTGTTACTTTCTTACGTTCATTCATGGTACACCTATTGGGTAGCTAGTTGAGATCAAGAGATTCATAGCAGAAGAAAACGTACCGAGCTAGGCACCTGACGCATTCTCCATACGTATTCGGGTTCCGATTATTCCGCTGCAGTTGATGTGTGATGCAAGGGAAGGGTTCAATTTCTCCTGAGATTAGGCTCGAAGTCGGGGCAATTTATTTTGGCAACAAACTATTTGAGAGGTAAGAGTTGCAGTTACGGACATGGCCAAACTTTCGGCAAATTCAACAAGTATAGTGTAACCGGCAACGGGGCAGCAGTGGATGCCATAACGTACGCTCCGCCAGCATAGGGGAGGGTTTATGGTCCTTTGGGCCTTGGATCCGAGCCGGTGATCACGGCCCCCGGCCCCAGTTGCATGTGTTAGTCAATGTTGCTTCGTAAGATAGTAACACCGACCTTTATATATCGTGAGCGCATCTCATGTACAATTTTTTCCTAATACGGCGTAGCGACGCATTGGTGGAAATGATTTTCTTAACCGTGATTGCTACTATCTACGGTCTCAATACTGGATGCCGGTATCTTGAAGGGAAACTCTTGAGAGGAAGGCTGGAATTACCATCGAATGCTTTTCGATGATCGCACTCATTTTGAGCGTGTCCTTCTTTGATATAAATAGTAATCATACAACCCAACTAGATAGTGTATGGAATGACACAACCGGCGGCGTCTTCTTACATGAGCTCTTCGACTATTCCCCTAAGCAGACTTATCTTGAGATGTATCTATCAGCCAAGGCTGTGGCCATTGTCTTGGTCACGCTGCAATTCGGAGCAGTTCATGGCCAGCAGCATAAGCCTATGATTCTCGCAGATACCAACCGTGACGGTATCGTGGATGACAGCGATGCCACGGACAGAACATTCTGGCCCCCTTCTCGCGGCGCCATCTTCCTACCAAACGTCGGCGACTCTCTCAAACGCTGTCCTAATCAGGATCTCCAGGGCAACCCTCTCAGTAATCACGAGCTAGCATCTTGTCACGATGCTTCTGGCCACCCACTCCTTGAGCCAAGCCTGGTTGCTCCCCTGAAATCGATCCCATTGGAAGTTTCAGACGACACTATTGCCCACATCTCCGCCACGCCTGACGCCGCATCTGAAAGGGTTCGTCTCTTTTACGTGAATGATTCGTCCGCCAACCCCGCCGAGACTGCCTCTTGGAGCTTTGTGGATCCTGAATTTACCTTCAATGCAAGCCATGTCCAAGCCGGTATCACTCTCGGGATTGACGGGCGTGAGTTTGTGAAGGATTTTGCAAAATGGGACGGCAAAGTAAGGGTGCATTTGGATGTCCACGCCAATGGCACTGTCATATTCGACGTCGTTGAGCTCAAGGTGGCTCCAGTTCTGACCCATCACCATCTCCAACGTGTCAGCGCCTTTGTCAGTACTGCGGCAAACGAGTCTGAACCTGTACAGCTCGGTTTTCTCAGCCGACTTGATGAAGCGCGGAAGGCGGCAGGGATAAAGGAGCCATTATATCTGTTCAATCAGAGTGACGATATTTGGGCCCAGGATTTTGTTGAACCAGCATATGCTAGCATGCCTAGACCTAACGGCCAACCGATCTCGCTCAGAATTATGTTGAGGTCGGCACAGTCAGTTCGTACTGCTGGAAGACACGTCTTTGAGCAGCTCCGCGGGAAAGGCGTTGGTGGTTCCCAGCCTGAGGGGGGACGCGGCGGCTATGGCGCCCGAGAAATCAACGCATACGGCAACCTCGAAACGATCCCACCTTACACGTCCAAGAGTAGAGTCAAATATCCTGCCGGCCGGATTATTTATGGCAAGTATTATGACAAGATGCCAGCGGAAGCCACGATTGCCTGCTTGGAAGGCCAAGAGCTTCAGAACCCTCTTTCCTTGAGTCTGGATGGCTACTCATCGGTCACGTTGATGAGTTCGTCCAGTTTCTACCTTCCAACGAGACGGGACTTGGCTTCACGATTGGTATCGCTGACAACACTTCCGCCCTCGACTTGCTCAGAAACACCTCAGCAGCGGCGCAGGGTGGTGTGCGGGCGATTTCTTTCAATGGGTCTGTTGAAGGCTCCTTTTCTATCACGAAAGAGGAGCTGGCCATGACAGTCGATGAGCTTCTTGCAAACGAGACATTTCCCGAGGTCAACGCTTATGCGCAGAGACATATTGATGGTAATCTGGGAATCCTGCTCGCTGAGATACCTATCCTTCGGGATCATGTGATTCGCATCCCCTCGCTTTTCAAGGCTCCCAAGGTGTCTTCGCTCTCCTCGTTAACTGAAACCGTAATGGAGGGCGAGTATTTGTTAGTGAGCTTCAGCCCGGCGGCTATCAATGGCGTCGTGTTGGGCAACTACTACGTGAGTCCCAAGACTTGGGGCCCCGTGGTTGAGGGACGAGACATTTTGGAGTTTGCCATCCGGGAGGTATATGCAAAGGCTGGCATGGAGGTCGGGTTTGTGGACGATTTCATGTCGCATCACCACACCTTTGGCGAGGTGCATTGTGGAAGCAACACTTTCAGGGAGACGGACGCAGCGTGGTGGGAGTAGGGATAACACTCTCGTAGTGTGTGGGAGTTAGAGAAGAGGACGGGGAGAACCTGGGAGTCACCGTTCTAACAGCAATCTAGTGGAGAGAGCTATAGCATGTCATGATGTGCTCTGCAGTAATCATATTCCTTTCGTTCCCATCTCGTTCCCTACCAATTCTGCGTGCAGCACTGATGGATAAGGGTGGCTACACGCGGGAATGTGAGGCACGGGAAGCCAGATTAGCCTTATTGCCGCTACTAAGCTACATTTGAGCTTCAATAGGTTTACACAGGCAAAACAAGGTCATGCTATATATAGCAGTGAGCGTTCTCTGCTATCTGCAAATTTCGCGAAAAGTTTCAGGCTGCTCTTCCACGTTACAAAGACAACCATTGTGTCTCAGTGAATTAGAGCATTAGTCTACCAGCGTAGCCAGAGGTAACGAACTGCTACCATCATACAGCTTCAGCGATAACAGCATCCCTGCTATTCGCGGAAGAGAGATCCTCTCATACTCCATGTTCCAGATGCTGCTTTCCCTAGCCAACAAGATAGACTCTAGCAAACTGGCAATCTCCCGACTATCCCACATACCTTCTTTCCTTCGCATGGCATACAGCAGCGAAATGGCCCTTTGCTGCAGGTCCAGCTCACCAGAGAACCCGGCAATGAGGCTCATTCGCGGGATCACATCCGCACCCAGGGTAAAGACCGGATACTGCATCGGCTCGGCCTCGGCATATATGAGCGATTCAGCATCTTCTAAAAGATCCTGGAAAAATTGTCGATCCAGAGGCTGTGAGCTCGGGGCCTCCATGCATTTGATGATGACCGACCAGTCCTTTTGCATGACTGACATTAGCCGCGCCTCCCATAACTGCTGCCTGGTTGTTGATGAGCTTGACTTGAGATGCTCAGTATAAGTTGCAAGCCGACTACTAAAAACATCAAAGAGATGGCGAGCTGTAAGCCATTCCCCGAGCCGCAGGTCGTCATCTCTTAGTGGTGACATGCTCTCTGGCAAATCCAAGAATGAGGTCCAAGATATCGGATTCATCGGAATGCTACCTCGGACATTGTAACGTAAAGCCTTCCCAAAAGCTTGGTCTACAAGGTGGAGATCGTACCGAGCCTCGGTGGTCGAGGAGTACGGCTTGGAAGCATCTTTGTTGCTATTGCCCCGGAAGAAATAAGACAGGTCCGGAATGACTTCGCCTTCTTCCAGTAAGTAGGCAGCATCGCAGCCCAAGCAGGTGAACATGTCAGCAAGATCGCATAACTGATCATAATAGTCCTTGACAGTCTCAGCCAGGCATCTCTGGTGCACTGAAAGAGGTAATCCTGCCTGAGCATCCGTTGCCGCTTTGGACAGGGCAACCATGATACTAGAGCCGGATCTAAGGTGTTGCAGAGCTTTGTCGTAACTTCCCTGCATGATTTCAAAGCAGATGAATATCAAACAAGAAACGAGCGATGTCCTGAGAGTGATAGACGAAAGCCTTTCCATATCCCGAGTCGTGAACTTCATGGCCTTAGAGAATTGCTGGGTTGCTAGCACATCGTATGTTTGCGCGCCCGCAGCCTGGTCTTCTTCTCTGTAGTCGCTTATGAAGCCTCGATGTGCACATCCCAACGCTATCAGGCCGTGTTTGACTGAGTCGGAATAGTATCCTAGTGGGATGATGTAACTGTGCCATAGCTTCTCTAGAAAAGAGATAGCCCCGAAGCCCGCAACTGTGCATTTGCGTACATGATGGAACATGGCCCTTTCTGTTGGTGTTCCTGAGATGTCCCAGTTGACTGGCGGCGGGATCGCGGATGGTTGCCGACGCAACCTAAGCTGGAGACACCTGCGTCTTCGACAAGCTGCCTGTCCATTGACACAGCATCTCCACGATGTCAATCACTGCAGGGTTGGAGAATGTAGCGGAATAAGCTTACTTGCTACATGATAGCTTAGTTCGATCATCGGACATAGTGAGGGTGAGATGAGAACATACTGTGGCTGATGCTTTGAGATGGCTTTAGGGTTGACCTCCCCTGTCTTTTCCGACACCTTCAACATCCTCCGTGGTATGCGACTCAGGCTCGCGGTGCGATGCGGCCTGCCAGGTTGCAATTGGTAAGATTCCAGTCAAAAAGCTTTCAACCGAGATCTCGTAGCTTCAATTGAGTGTAGATGAGCATAACTCTGAGAGCGCGCAGGCGATCACATATGCGAAGACTAGGCTGAAACTTGCAGGTTTCCAACTGAGCGAGGGCCATCACGATTTTGTCTTGGCCCAAGCTGAGAGACCCACTTCTCGTTCTCATCCCACACTCCCGAAAGGTTTGACGATGCCTGATTCGCTGACTGCGTTTGGGAATGAAAGTGAGGGGAACGCGTTCTGAAAGTGTTTTACAACAAATCATTGCCGCTGGTCAAACCTCTTACGATCAGTGGGATTTACATGAGAGCGGACGGATCATCGAGTTTTCCGGTAAGTAAAGTTGTAAATAGTAACAGCGTAAGTGAAATATGAGGGACCTAGAGGACGGTCTTACCAACAACAGAGTTCGGCAAGTGACTGATCATCCATACGTACTTCCCCAATCATGTCATCATTCACAAAGTTGAAATCTCTTCGCTTACTAATTCTGATGTTTCTTGTCTTGAGAATCAGTCATTTCAAGTAGAGCGGGTTCACAGGATGCGATAACGGCATCATAAAAGCCAAAGCAAGCGTTATTCCCTAGATGTCCGACCACTAGTTCCAGAATAGTCGTTATAAGACTCGAAATGACAATTGCCTCAAGAAGCTAAGCACTTACGGAAGGCCCGTTGCATTAGTCCCTAAGTTTTGTAGCATGGACCCAAGCTGCAGGGAATGCTGTGCATGGGTAGTTTCTTCGTTTCTGCCAGAAAGAGCAGTTCGTTACTCGTTCGCAAGTTCATGATATATCAATTGACTCGAAGATAATCAAGGTACTGTATTGACTATCTAAAGGCACTAGGCTTGTAGGCCGGACTTGCCAAAAACCACATACACCGACACCACGTACGTCCACACAATACGGAGTTTGGGAGACAGAGGAATCCCGAAGTAGTCGTATGAAAACTCCGTAGAAACATATTTCCAAAGATCGGCAAGAGCAGAAAGTTATTGTGAAGGGCTATAGTGCTAATTTCATTTATATTAACCCGTGCCGAGTGAAGCACGACTGGCTAAGTGCACTGACCCAAACTCTCTTCTCGTCAACGCAGATCTTCCAGCGCGTTCACAGCACGGAGTAGGCGGACTACGGAGCTGTCCGTTACCGATTTGCCTGACTCGAAGGCATATTAAGTGCCCGTGGGATAGTTCGTATTTTGAATTCGTTACTCATTAACGGGGATAAAGTCTGCTGGACGGATATAAACATGAGGTTCAAGTCCCTGAGAAAGTGAATTGATCGCAGTCCTTCTCGTCACACTTTGCCACCAACTATCTACGATCCTTTCGGTATAGAACTCTCTCAATATGCGTGCCACACTTGTTTTCGCGGCTGCGTCCTTCGCGACTGGAGCTATCGCAGCTAGGTCCATGGGCTACTGCCAAAACTTAGCAGGTGACGGCGGGGACATCGGAAAGACGAGGTTCTGCTGCGACTCGCAGTTCGACTTCCGCTTTTCTGAGGTAAGTTTTACAATGACCGGAACAAACCAAACCTGAGAATGCAAATGCTAACGTGGGGGGGATGAATAGTCTGGCATATGTAACATCCCTGCGGACTCCTGCGGTGGCATCAGCACGTGCTGTGGTACTGGTTTCTACGTCTTCAACACTTGTCCCGACACGTTTCCTTGTGCGAACAGCGCGGTGGACAAGGTTTGTCCCAAGAACTAGTCGTGATTTATAGTAATGGAATAGAAGGACTGAAGATGAAATCTACTTGATGTTGGTCATGTTACGTTGCCATGACTCGCAACTCATTCGTGATGTTGTGAAGACCGACGAGTTCAGCCCATGACGGCTCACCAAGGTGCATGCGGTGCAGTTTCTGAAAGAACATCTCAACAGCACGCTAAAAGAGCATGATCCAATCCAGTGACTAGCCACCTAAGTCAAATCAATAATCTCTGGCTCAGCTTTTCGTTTCGCCCCAGCAACAGGTTGCGGAGGCCGACTTGGCCCAGGAGTCGCAGCTGCACCCATACCGTTCAGGCCTGAGGGCGGGGATCGCGACGGCCATCCCGCATTGCCCGTTGTCGGCGCGAAAGCTCTTTGTCCTGCTGACATTCCTATAGGGACTTGTGCCGGCCCGTTTATCGGTTGGAGACCATTTATTAAGCCATTCATCGATTGAGCACCGCTCATAGGCGGCGGAGCGGACGAGGATCCGGTTGCTGGCCTGTTGTAATGTGACGGCGGCGGGCCGCGGGCAGACCCGGTCATCGGCTGATGTCTGTTCGTGGGTGGTGGAACCCACGCAAGCCCGACTGCTGGCATAATAGTGTGCCCGGGCGGTGCATAACCTGCCGCAGCAGGTCCTGGAGCAGGAACAGGAGCGGGAAAATAAGCCGCAGCCGGAGCCGGAGCCGGAGCGGGAATTGGTGCCGGCGGATACGTGATACCCCCCCGCCCTGGCACCAGATTCACCGGCCGCTGCCACAATGCTGTCGCAATAGCAGGATAATCCTCACCCAGCAATACTCCTAACTTGGTCTGATCAAAAGCCTTGAAGACTTCCTCTGCCTCCTTGGCCCTCACCTGCTGCTTCGCAACATCCGTCTGCCCCACCTTGTTAATGACCATCGTGGGCCCTCCAGGCGCAAATCGCTCAGTCTCATGCGTGACCCGGATGTCGTGCTCCTCGATCACCCTGTGCACGTGGTGTCGCTGCTTCTTGGCGCCAATGATCAGGCGGAGTGACGTCTGCGCCGGGTTCGCGAGGAAATTGTCCAGTTTGCTGCAATCGCCGCAGGTGCAGAACTGCACGAGGTACATGCCGCTCCCCAGCTGGCCAGACGGCGGACGGACGGATCTCGAGCCGACGTAGTTATCGCGGTAGGCTTCGAAGGCTGCGGCGAAGAGTTGCTGGTAGCGCGGGGTGTCGAGTGGCGTCTTGGTGGCTTCGAGGATGGCGAGGAGCTCGCGTAGGAGCGGAATCCAGAGGACGGGGAAGTCGAGGGCGTGCATTTTTGGGGCGTGGCTGACGATTTTGAGGGCCAGTGGCAGGACTATGTCCTCTTGTGGAGGGGAGGATGCGAGCTTGATGAGGCCGGAGAAGAGGTCTGCTAGGGCGATGTGATTCAAGGCGAGGCGGTGGTCGGGGGGAGACGGCGCCGTCTGGCCGTATGTGAATCTCGCCGCCTTGTGGGCTGGGTCGTCTTCCCTGGGCCCGTGAACCCTTTCGAGATCGAGCATAGAGATGAGGTCTTTGGCGAGCTTTTTGTACAAGTTGACGGCCAGAGTCACCGGGAAAGCCTTTCGTCTAGCGCATGAGAGCAGCGCTGACAGGAACTCCAGTGCAAACGCTGGCGTCCGTACAAGTAGCTGCTCGACCAATGGCATCGTCCTAGGAAAGAGAGTCAGTCATATATACGTCTGGCGGTGATTAGGGTTCATTGGGAGATACTTACACAGAGGAAAGCCAACCAAAGTCGGCATACTTCTCAGCGCCCGTCACTAAAGCCAGTCCATCTTGTCGGACGAAGATTGCGGTATCGGCAATGTCCTTGAGGCCTGTGGTGAGCGTTGCTTGTGCCCACTCCCGAATCTCGTCAGACAGGGGCTGATCGGTAGGGGCAAAGGCCTTAACCGCCTCGAAGATCTCGAAGAAATATCGACCCCTGAATACTGTGGAAGTCAAGCTGGAACATCGATAACGCGGTTAGGACGCGAACCTGAAAGAATGGGCTGGATATCGGGGAGAGAACGCACCCGTTTTTGATCTGAGAAAAGTCCGCCTTGCCCTGCGAGACCTCTGCGTAAAGTAATTGATAGTAGCCCGCGGGCAGTGGTCCGTCCAGCCCCTTTTCGGCTTTTTTCTTGCTGACCTTCTCGAAAAAGTCCCAATCCTTCATAGCCAAAGCAGATCGCAACACTTTGCACAGGATCTCGTCTTCAGCCTTTTTGGTACGCCTGCCTGGACGAGGGACCGACGTATCCCATACGTCTTTGAGTGTCTCGAACGATGACTTGCTGTTCGACGAGGCCTTGAGGATCGAATCTGTGAGGTAATCGACCAGTACAGCACTGTCATGGTAGTGATCCCATCCCGACCTCGTACTAGCTTTGAGGTACGAAGGGATCTCGTCTCGGCGAATGATGAGCGCGGCCTGAGTCCAATATTAGCTAGAAGCTGCGAGGGGAAAGGGGAACAGAAAGCTCACTGTTACGCAGTACCGGTGGGTAGCTGTTGGTCCCTATAGTTCGTCTTTGTTAACATGACGAACGTACCTGCCACTCCCTTGGATCGAAAACCTACCCAGTTGCCCTGATATCCCTCATACTCTTCCTTCCGTTCAACGCCTTCAAAGAACTCGCTAGCATCAAGCATATTTTTCCAATCCAACGCGATGTCACGGAGTATCGGGCGCCCGCTCAAGTCCACAAGCACCTTGACAGACAACGACTCGTCCGTCACATCCTCAATGTCACGAGACATGCCCGCCTCATATAGATCTTCCTCGACCCCGTCCGAGCTGGATGTATAATCCTCATACGGCACACCACACGAATCGTATCCATCCAATCCATCATAATCTCCAAAATGATCAATCGGCCGCTTCCGCTTCCCACGCCGGCTCCGTTTCTTTTTCGAATACCGCGAATTGCCCTCGTACACTGCCGGCCCCATCTCCATCTTCTCTGTCAGCGCTAGAAGAACATCAAACTCGAGCCCAGCCGAAAGCTCCTGCAGCGTCTGCACGACGGCCGCGTCGCGTCCCTTGAGCGCCTTAATTGAGATGTTGTCCTCGGCGTACTCGTGGTCCAGGCCGTAGTAGACGTGGTCGATCCCGGCGTTCTCGGAGCGCTCCAGCCACCGCCGGACCGTGTGCCGCAGCGCGCGGGTCTCTTGCCTCCGCAGCGTCGCAGAGGGCCGCTGCTGTGACGCCATCGCCGCCGGGTCGATGGTGAGGTTGTACGTGAGCACCACGCGGTAGCCCTCCGTGACGGGCAGGACCTCGTGGTGGACGTCCGAGTACCAGCACGCAAAGGACTGGTCTGCCCCTGAAATCTTGAACATCTTCGTCTCGCCGCAGTGCTTGACGACTACGTCGCCCCCCTTGTGGCCGCAGGGAAGGCAGATGACGAGAGTGCCGAACATGCCGGGGCATTTCTCGGTGCTGATGACCCGTGTAGTCTCAGCCATCTAATCCATCTTCACGCACCATAAATGACAACACACTAAAGACAGACTTACTCGGTATAAGCCTTGGACACGGCCCCCTTTTCGTAGATCAAAAGCTTATACAGCTCCGCCGTCACAGGCGACGTGACGCCCAAATCCTTCGCTACAACAGCACATATCTTTTGCAAGTCCGCCGGCCAGCGCGGACTTCGGAGCTCGAATTGCGAGGGGTCCAGCTCCCACGTGTTGGGCGCAGCAGTGTCCACAATGGTCTCACTCCCCTTACCTAACGGAGCACGAGTGGCTTTTTCGATCAGTTGCCGCACCGTCGGCTCCGGCAGCGGCTGGGCAACAGGTCCGACATCATGGACGCAGAGGTCCGGGTCTACGCGCTTCAGAGGGTGGAACGAGGCAAAGGTGCCCTGTGTCTGGATGCCGGCAAGCGCCTCGATGAGGTCATCTTCAAAGGAGCGCTTCCAGTCCTCTGCGAGTGCGCTACTGGCTACAGATGCTGTGTCATCATCGTGCCCGTGGCTGGCTGCGGCGTCCCCGGTTCGACTGGGCCCGGCGGTGACCTCGTTGTCGTTGGTGTTGGGCTCAGTGGTAGCCGTCTGAGCTGCGATAGCTTCACTCGCCTGGGGTTCCTTTTCAGTCTTGGGTACTGAGTCAACCGTGGGAGCTCGGGAATCCATCACAGTGTCTGATACAGCAAAGGTTCCGTCACATAGAAAGGGCTCCCAGCATCAATCTTCATACCATTCACTTAATTGCACCAAGACGCGACGCGTTAAGGGGAGGTCGTAAATAGTGGAGAAACCTTGTACTATCCCTGTTGAGCAAGTACACATGAGGGGGGTAGGTACAACGTCGAGTCTCCCAGAGTTGTCTCAACTCGGAGACTTCTAGGTCACTGAATGGAGAATTAATCATCAATCGATCTGAACTTGAAGTGTATCTATCGAGATGAATCAATGCATTCGTCGAATGAAGATCTCATCATCCTGTCATATTTGTGAAAAAGGGGAAACGAACTTGTCTGTTTGAGGGATGCCATCTCCAACGGTCGTAGAGAGATACTTCTACCTCTCCTCTCGGTGCACCGACCTATCCCCACTGTTTCCCGCAGCCAATGTACCCAGTGGACCGGCTCCCACGTTTTCTCGTGCTCCCCTTGGTCTGTGCGGGACATCTTTCGGTGAAAGTGTGGCGTTGGCTCTCGGTGAGGCAGGCGTGGCAGGAAGGTGTCCAACGTTTGTTTGATGACTACCCTTGAACCTGCCCTAAAGCCGTCATAAAAGAGAATGAAGGACACATGCCTCACCAAAAATACGCTGCAGAACATTCTAGAATCTGGGGTTCTAAGTACTTCACTGTTTTTGGGTCAATCGCATGCGTTTACATCGGCGTAGTCGTTTTCGTGTGCAACATGACTTCTTCTACTCAACTCAGTGGTGGTGGTATGGACCTCATGTCCGGTCGACCTGCGCCAAAGAAACACGGAGCGATGGCCAATTTTTGGAAACACACATGTTCGTATTCATCGATACTGTTCAGACAGGTTCTGCTTGCTATCCCTACCTAGTCGAACCAAAAACCTAATGAACCTATTGCATCGCTCCTGTTCCCGATGATCCTATCCCATTTAGCTGTGTACCAGGACTACAGCTTTCCCCAAATGATTCCCAATCATGGACAATTTCAAGTGGGTATTCCAGACTCCGTTCTGCACAAAATCAAAACCAAGTTTCAAGCAGATGTTTCCCCAAGAATGACGTATACTGTGTTACCGCCCGTTCCAAGAATTGGGAAATGAACAAAGCATCGAAAAAAAAGAACCCCCCCCCCCTTCTTGTTTCGATATCGGGTATAAGAAATGTCATTGGCCGGTTTATCCGTGTTTCATCAGGCCGTGTTGTTTTTTTACCACTGGGTATATCCGAGGTTGTGTATGTGTTCGTGTCAAAGAAAAACGACCGGAATAATTCGCATCTTGGTAAAATCCGTAAATCGCGAAGTTCATGCCGAGAGGATCGGTGTTGTTAGCCTGATCGTGGAATGCGTATGCTGCAAGACTGTACATAGAGAACTTTGTAAACAAAACCAGCGCCAGCTTGCGCAAGTTGGTGAGAATCGGTTGATGTCGTATCGGACGCTCAAAAAGAGCAATTATGTATGATGGAACTGGCCACCTCGAGAAGTGAAATGATGGGTTAGCTACTACATTTGGTACGCGACCAAAAAAGACTCAACCCCAGATTGGTGCGTTGCGGTACGCCGGCGAGTTGTAACTGTGTAGGACTCTGTAGGGCTGGTCACCGTTTGCGTGAACACTACGACTCCGGCTGCGGCTTCTGGAAAGGCCCGGCTGAACGGCGTCGGGGGAGTAGTACTGCTGCTGTTCCCATTGCTGCTGTTGGATGTTTAAGAGTTGCTGCTGGTAGTAGCTGCCGCTTTGGCTCGGGCTCTGGTTGGCAACTGAATGTCCGCGTGCAACAGGTCCCCTGTACTGCGAGTAACTGTCGTAGCTTGATCGATGACGGAGTTGTCGCTGCTGCTGCTGCTGATGTCCCATTGGGTTGGTGGAGGCGCTGCGTGCGACTGGCTGGCCAAACTCAGGAAAAGAACCATTGGTAGGGCGCCACTTGTCCTCAGTCGTCAAGCGACGCCTGGCGTATTGCTTCTCGAGCATCGTCATGCCCCTGCGAGGGCTCATTGGCGGAATGGGCGGCACAGCAAGAGCGTCATCGAGTGAGGCTCCCATCAACGCCGACGGATAGCTGTGGATGGTCTCGCGGCTGTTCTGCCTCGACAAGGTCTGTCTTCGACTCGCCTCGCCGGACGAGGATGACTGAGGGCGCACTGGCACTGGCTTTCGGGGACTCTTAGTGCTACTGCGGGTGTGCAGACTGACGGGCGGAGAAGTCTTCCTCTTCACTGACGCCTCGGGAACCTGCAGATTCTGAGACGCAAATTCGGAGTGGCGGCTTGTCGGAGGCAGAGGCTCGGTGGGACGAAATCGCAGCCCAATCTCACGTTCCATATGCGCCGGCATTGTCAGAGTACGACTGTGTTGGGCCTGAACAGGCTGCTCGCGAGGGAGCGCCATGAAAGCTTGGTCGAAAGCACTCTTGCCGACGCTCTCGCCGACATGGTCGATGGCCGTGATGTTTGACTCGAAGCCGACCTGAATCTCGTCGGCTCTGGCTTCGCCGATAAACTCGGCCTTGCTCACAACACCAGAAGGCACTGGCTTGCGGTGGATAGAGCGCCGCGGCATGACAGAAGCGGCAGCTTGAGCGAACGAGGCTGGCATGGTCTGGAAAGAACGGCGGAAGGGTGATTTTGGCTTCTCAGAGGGTCCAGACGTCTCTGCTATCGCCTCGCTCACAACCTGAGTCGCATCGACCAGGAGCGCAGAGCTGCGCTTGTCGTCAGCGTGGCCGGCATCGAAGCTTCCGACACTGAAAATGGTCTTGAGAGTCTCTTTACTGGCCTGCGCACGAAGGGTCAATCGCTTGGTTGTGATGGGAAACCGACCAGAGTGCTCCTCAAGCTTTGACTGAACATCCTGGGGTACCGAGGGAATCTCTTCGTCAGACGGATGCGTTGCGTGAACGGTCGGGGGTCCTCGCATTCCAGAGCCGCTGAGAAGTCTTTGCAACTTGCCAGGTTTTTGCAAGCCGTTGCCAATGCTCAAGGAGGAATTTGACTTTTCGGAAGCAGCTCCGGGAGAACGAATGGCGGCCGGAGAAGCGGGGCCTTGTTCGGCCGATTGAGTGCTGTCAATTAACGCTGGAGCCGGGGATTTTCGGTCCTTGCGGAAGGAATGGCCGGCGCTGAGGTTGAAGAAGAACTTGGGCGATGTGACCGTCATTGTGTTGTTAGTCGGAGAGACAAGAAAATCATCCTTCGGGGGCAGAGACGAAGGAACTGAGGCGCCAGATTGTGAAGGATCAGCAGGGCGGATGTCGGCCTTAAGAACACTAACTTGCAGCCTGTTGCCGCTGAAGGCTACAGTTGGGGATGCGGCTGAGTCTGACAGTTCATCGCCCGAATCCTCCGATGCGGCACGGCCAGCTGGACGGCTGCCTGCAGAAGGTTGCTTGGCATGGAACGACCTCAGCGAGACATTAGAACTGTAGCCGGAATCGGCCTTGGAGAGCGGTTTGGGCTGGTGCTCGGTGGTCGGGCTAGCAACGACTCCACTGTCGGCGCGTGCAATTGCTCGGGAATGTTTCTGAGACTGGTCCGCTTTCAGTTGCTCAAGACTTGGTTTTGCGTTCGGGTCATTTCTGACCGTCAGGACCTCGGCAGAGTACTCCATTTGCACATCTTCATCTTCTTCCGCAAAAAGGTCGTCTTCCATTGCTGTGTGCTTGGATGATATTTTCAACTCTGGACTGAGTGGCCTATATTTGAGTCAGCGTGAGCCGTCTCATGGTGCCTTACACAACATGGCGCCGTCTGCACGAATTGGCAAGGGAGACTACTAACGAAGTTGACCGCCGCCTCTGCGATTCCGCCTTTGAAACCGAAGTCTTGATCGGACTGAGTGTCTGCGAAGTAGCACTGGCTTGCACTGTCGAGACCGTGATCTTGATGTCCTTGCTCTCAAAGCCCGTCCCACCCGATCCGTTCTCGTGACTGAAATACTCCTCAATTGCAACCATTTGCGACTTTTCTGCTATGCTGACCTGAACTGCTGGCTCAAAGTCCGGACTTGGAAGCGGGCTGGCCTCTCCATTCGTGATCCGCAGCGAGCCAAACTTCATGGCACCTAGCGGCCGGTAATCCATATCAGAAGGGGTCAAGGCTCTTTCGACAGGTTCAACCACTGGTTCACACAGATATTCGGGCTCCGAGGCGAATCGCTCAGCGACGTATTCTTCCAACGTCGGGATCGGATATGTGCTCGAGTCAACCGATAATGAGTTCATTCGCGAACGCCCTCCTGCTGGGGTTGTAGGCATGCTGTGTCGCACACTCGACCGTCTAGATGAAGCATATTCTGACGGCATTCGGGTCGCAAGACCTGGAGTTTGGATCATGGAACGTCGCCGTACGGGTGCATACAGTGCCAAATCTGAGTTGGCTCGGGGCAGAGGCAGCTGAGCGCTGACTGATTGTGCAAGGACTGGCTGGTGCGGATGCGAACTCTTCCAAGTATTCGGTGACACCTCGAACTTGCTTTCAGACACCATCGAGTTCTCTTCGCATGCGGTGAGATCTTCGTTGAGGTTCAGGAGCCTTCTCGATTCGTATGACATGAGATTGTAGTTGATGGACTGACGATTCCCGGGAACATGCCAGCTAAAGCCGCCGGTAGTCAGTATTTGCGACGAAATGCTGGGGAGTCGACCATACCTCTCAACTTGCAACTGCCTGGAAATGTCCATTTCCTGCTGACTCTCCCAGGTCATTGAATTTGCCCTCGACATTCTGTCTGGAACAGGCGGGCTCAGCACCATGCTTTCCCTACGTTTTTGCTTCCTGGGCTCTTGAGAGCTCTTTGACCTAAACAAGCTTGCCCTGCGCTTCCAATCCCTCGCAGGTTTCACTTCTGGGTCCGCCATAGAAGCGATGCTGGGTGCTCGGGCGGCTGCACCAAGCTGAGATCCGGCGGTTGCAGAAATAGGTGACGGTGCAGGCGAATTTTGCCCAGGCAGAAGTCGCGAATTCGATCGAGAGGGTGGCAGACTGGCGGATGCAGCGCGTTGTATGCTTAGTTGGCTGGGGGCCGGTAATTGGGGTGTTGGAGAGGCATAATTGCCGACTCTAGGTTTTGATAATTTGTGAGGTGACTTTTTGCTGCTGCTTCCACCTTGCACATGTGAATCATGAAGCGTCTCGGTAGACTGTGCATTGCCCATCTTGACGTTGAAAAGCAGAAATTTTGAGATGGTTCCCTAGTCCTCAACCAGATGACAAAAGTCTGCACTCTGGTAAAAGTATAGAAAATCGCCTCGAGGTGGTACGGGTTGCGGATGGCAGTGCTCGAAAACGGCCAGCCGATAAAATTTGGTTACGATGACACTGTTGTAACTGCCATGCCGCGCAAATTGCTGTGGAATTATCGACGTTACTTCGTGGGTGTTTGTAGGTTGAGCGACCCTCGAGTACTATCTGCGGTAGTGAGAAAGGGGAGATGGTCTGATATTTGTCGACGCTTTGTGAGCTGCGCCCTGAATGGTGTTCCTTTCCAAGTAGATACACTGTGAGGCGACAACGGAGACAGGCGCAACCAGTGAAAGGAAGAAGGAAAGGGGGAGGGAGGCTCGAGGAGTCTAGTTGATCACCGCCGGAGACCAGCACGAAGAGAGAAAGGCGGTGGTAGAAGGTGGGATAGGCGCAATTAAAGAAGAGGTGGCATGGGTCTGAGCATTTACCACCGGACCAGACCGAGCGAAGTGTCTATCGATTTTGCCAACTCCACATAAGGGAATGCCTGGTCTGTTAACAGAGTCAGTCGCCAGGGTCAGTGGCGAGTTGTGCAGGATTATACAGCAGCGGCAGGCATTCATATGCGGGAACAGGTGTCTCTGTCTGGGGAGTATTGGACGGACAGCGACGGTCAAGGGCCGGTGCGATTGCAGCAGGAATGGGCCTCAGATGGCATCTGAGAGATGGACATGGACACCGACAGGAAACCAGGAGGTGGAACTGACGGTGACGACGTACATGGTTTGAGACGCGCAAGGTGGGTTGGGGCACGGCGGAAAAGGGTAGAGTACCGCCTGCGGCAGCGAATGGGCAGGGCTGTTCCAAGTTCCAAGACGGGCTCGTTGTTGGCCCATGCAGGGCTGTAGTGGCATGCGTCTTGGCCGGCGGAACGTGGATGAAGAGGTGCGTTGGTGTGGTAGGGTAGGGAGGGAGAAAGAGTGCCAAGTAGTGTCGGACGGCTATCCGCAAGGGTGTAGCGGCATCAAGTTGCATCGAGGACCCAGCAAAGGCGGAGGCGAGACACAAGAGACCAAGAGGACGAGACGGTGATTGGCGATGTTGGATGGCTGAGGTAAGGTGAAGGTTAAGGTGAGGACAAGCACAGCAAAACAAGTCCAAAGGTACCGTGTACCGGCGACAGTTCTTGTTGTGGGCGCGGCCCGGTTCAAGATGGTGGATGGCCCATGGTGGATGGACATCCAGACGGGATGGATGATGATTAGGTATGGTATTTCGTCTGATTGATGCCATTTTGCGGTCTGGCCGGGGCCTGGGTATTACAACCTTGGCGGAGACGAGACTAAAGATTGCCCTTGTCCTGCGGTTGAAAAGACTCCACGACGGGCGTCCAGCCTCTAACCACAAGCCCCCAATCTTTTGAATGGTGGTTTGTGCAACCAGCAAAACGTTTACCAGTCCGGCGCCTTGCAGACTCAAATGCAGCAGGTATCCGCATTCCGTACCTGTTAACTGGGGTCAGCCACGGCCGTCCGTCCAGTCCGGTCCATGGAGATGTTGTCTTTGTGTGGCTGCTGAAAGGCTTCTGCGCCGCTGGCTGTGCGCAGACGCAGTATTGGCAAATACGGATTACGGACACTCATTGCCCCTCTCTAGCCCCTCGACTCCGGACAAAAGCTGCAATCATGGTCTACTGAAATGATCTGACACAATCGGGTTGACCAAGCGAAGCCAGGGTGGGGTTTGATTAGAAGCGTCCGAGATGTAGCAGGCGGACGGGCAGACGGGCAGAGTGCAAACGGGATATGAGGTGAGAATGATGCGAGGGGACTGGCAAGGCGTCATTCCATGTCTTTGATGCGCTAGGGCGGGTAGGTAATTCAAGAAGCAAAAGCTCAGCTGGAGGGAGTGTCAGTGTAAGTGAACCGAGAGAGGACGATGGGGGAGGGAGAGAGAGATAGAGAGAAAAACGGAGAACCAACACGGCAAGAGAGAGTGTGGCACTTGTGGCTCGGACGCATGTGGATGATGCATCCGGCAGAGTTGATTGGAGTTTAATCGAGCCTGGATCGGGGTTCTGTCTTGGTTCACCGATGACTATCCGTATATCCGTGATGTACTCCGTACCCAAGCCGTCAAGGTTGTCGTCAATAGAGCTCTAGAATGGAGGTGATGTAGTTTGCACCGTAAGCTTTAGCCATTGCTGCAGAGACCCTGATTCTTCGGAGTTGGCATCTCTTGGTCGTCATCATCATTTCAGTTCAGCTCGGCGGTTGCTGATGAGCTGTACGTTTGAGACGATGGAAGGCAGGAAACTAGCACTTGAAATGCATGGTGGCTTGCACTTGCCCGTCTTTGGCGTCGTCAAGCAGCTCGGGATCCCAGAACCGGGTCGACCCCGCTTGCCCGCTTCGCACGCCATGAGGTCCAAGGTTCTCATTCTCTCAGTGTCCCAATCTCAAGGTCTTGATCCGCTTGGATGGGGGAATTTGGGGGCGTCAGACTCGCTCTGAACGGCGTCTTGGACTTGTTTTAGCGGGAAGCCAATCGCTCAGGCTCCAAAGCTGTCTCTCGTGGATTCCCGCCCGCTAGGGACCCGGAAGGACGTCTTGTCACGCAGTGGCGGTCCAGCCGGCAGCAATATAGGTGGTGATCTCTCGTGGCCGTGTCCTAATTTTGTCCAGTAGGCAAGCTGTGAAGGCGCGAGCTAGGCTATCTGCGTCGTTATCTGAGCTGAGGTATATGCCGGCAGGTGTTCTAGATGGGCCTTGTTACTTGGAGAGGGCGCAAAACAAGGCCCAAGTGCCGGATATGTACCTCCGCCATACTGGGTGGCCCTGCAGCCATGCCGCCATTCTGGGATTTGTCTTTTCAATCTTCGGTCAATGTTCCCATGAGGAAGACGCATCTGAGCAAAGTACCTAGAGCAAAGTACGGACATGGAGCAATACAACAAGAAAGTCAAGAAAGTCGAAAAGGTTGGTAGGCAGGCAAGCACGCAAGGTGAATGCGGAGAGAAGCTCTTTCCCCCGCTTACATGGGCAGATTCGCAGATTCTAGATCAAGCCACCACGTTGCGACGCTCCTGCCTCCCTCGTGAGGTATCTTGTTCCTGCTCCTTCCTGTTCCTGGTTTTTTGTGTGCCGCCTTCCTCTTGCCGGCGCTTCGTGCGGCGTGCCGTGTCCACGTTGCTGAGGCAGGTGCTTCTGAACGTAACCTCAACCTCCTACTCCTCCTTTCTTGCCTACCATCGAGTCCCTGCCTCGCCCAGATTGCTGTTGATTCTGGTTCGCTTGTCCAGACAGGCAGGCACCTCATGCCCTCACGATCTCCTTCCAAGGCCAAACATGATGCCCAGCCTACTTTAATCCATTGCATCCATCGTATTTCAGTAAGGCGAGGCACCTCAGTTATTCCTCCGATGCCGACTCGCTTCCAAGTTCTGTCCTTCATCATCACATTACATGAGAACTGCCTGAATCGGGACACCACGGTCTCTCTGCCTTGATCCAGCATACCAATACCAGATCTTGCGTTGGCTGGTCCGGTCACTTGCCATCTCTCCGTGGCCTCGTTTTCGTACGGGGTACGGGGGTTGCGACGCCAACCTCTTACAATGGCCAGGTGCCAACAAGGATGTTTCCCCTCTCCCATGGAGAGGCAGAGACCGAAAGGGAGACGCAGCCGCTGCTACGGATACATACTCACTCCTCTTGACGACCTTTGCGTGCGCGTGGACTAGCACGACGTGTCAACCGTTCATCTCTGCTTGTCCCATCTCGGCCGCAGTCCAGGTTGTCTCTGTTGCGCGGCATGCATCTCCCTCTCAACCACAATCGAGCCCAAACCAAACTTGACGAATTCCTTACGCAGCACTAGTGTAAGCAGTAGTGTGGCAGTTTCCGTCACCTTTCCGTCGTGCGGTGTGCCACAACCCTCGTCTGAGGCTCAGATCTTCTCAGAAAGTGTGCCCGTTTCAGATTGTGCCACTTGACTTGATGGGTCAATCGGAAGTTGCAAAGACCAGCATATCCTCATCAATGATCCCCGGCTTGCCCGCAACTCAGGCAACATGCTTGGTCAGGCCAGCACCAGTCCCCAACATCCCCGATGCAGTTCGTGCATGCGAAGGGATGCCCGTCGTCGATCATCGGCTGCCAACAGCCACTCTTTCAACGTCGGACAACCCTATCTGAGACCATCCACTCCCCGAAACCGGCTCGTCAGAGTCGTCACTCTCGCTCTAGTGTCGCTTGCTGCGATAGCACTCAAAACTTGAGGAATTAGGTGTCGACACTCAGACGAGGGTCAAGCAGCGTATTCGTTTCCTGCATCGAAGCACTCTATTTGGCACGCCATTATCCTGCTGTTCTGCTCAGATGACCGAGACATTCGCACTTTGTCTTTCATTTTCGGCAACTCCCAAAACACCGAGATAAGATACATCATCAGTCGCCCTGCCACACGGCCCGCAGGACGAATGCTCTGGTATGGAGAATTTACTCCCCGCCCAAGATAGCCTCACCAGACACCAAGGGCGGGCAATCTCCCCCACTTTGAATTAGCTCTGTCGCCCTTACAAACAAGGTTCAGGGGCCTGCGAAATTGCCCTTCCTACTCCGGCTGCTTCCTCATTTAGAGCACCAAAGACCGAGAGACAAAAGAGAAAAGACGACTCATCAATCTTTCATCATACAGAGCTCATTTTCCGAAGCTGCAATATGCCTCGCCGGTTTCCAGTGTTACCGGTCCACCACACCATACGGAGATGGTCAACGAAGGATGCTCCGGCTCATTTTGCAAACCACGTGTTGGGAACGTCATGTAGACACAGAGGCCCTGTTTTCGGGCTCGGCTACCCACGCTGGATTGCGAAGAGGCCCGCTAGCTGACACGGGAAACGGTCATGATCGAGATTGGTTGTTCTCGTTCTGCAATGGCTGCACAAGAGTTCGGAGTACGAATGCTCCCATCAACTATTTTCCGAATGGCCGGGTTGACAGCAAGGGTGACGGGTCACGTCTTCGCGGACAAAATCCTAGTGGCGTTGCACGGTTGTAATCGCCAAAAGTGCGCGCATTTTTATTTTTCTATCTAGGCGCCGTAATTGTATCCTAGCATGCCTGGCCTGCTTAGCCAGGAGTATCCGTACCAGCCTCGGACATGGAAGGAAACGAGACACACGTTGCTGCTATGCACTGCAACTCCCCCGCTCGCAGTCCATCGTCCGTACCAGCGTGGGCCGGTAATTGTGCCGCTCGACTCGTTGTTGATTTGGTATCAAACGTCAACAGCACATACTCCCCGAGACACGCCACCAATTCTTTCTCGTTCGGCCGAAGCAGCAGACGGGTGTTCCCTAGGATCTCTTACACTCCAAGGACCATACCAGTTCGCGAGGGAGCGATCGATGCTCACCAGCAAAGTATTGACTACCTCGCCAGCTCACCTGGCTTAAGCGATGGGCGGTGTTTCCGCCGTTCAAACTTATCACGTCTGCTATCGACCCGAACTCCACCTGCCCGCAGCACCACTGAGACTTCTAGATTGGACTACGGATTCTTCCCGACGACGTTTATCGGCAACATCCTTGTCTCTGGACTGTCTATTTTTCCTTCTGGTGGAGGATGTTATGTAAGAATGAGTTCTCGTGTGGACGAGCTCACGGAGTACATGGTCAAATGCCATTCACCGTCTGATACTGCCCACTCACGCGAGGGACTCCTCCCCGTTGGACCCAACTAATGCAGTTTCTTCAAACACTCGATTGTTGCCTGTCGAATCACAAGGAGTCGGAGCCACTATGATGATCAAGCAGCACCGACGGAGTGTGTTCCTCTTCGGAGCAGCTTCGGAACAGACTGCAGATGTCGGCACGGCAAGCTCCATAAAATAAGGCCCGATGATCATGCAACCTGAAAAATGCCCGCGCCGCGAGCCGTCGCTGTTTGGGCGAGATTGATCCCCGCGCCTCTTTATCCCCTCCAAGAGATTGATTTACGAAGTAGGCACCTCAAAGTTGACCTACGCACGACATATGTCGGATACTCGGGAAAAAAGAAAGCATGGCTATTTTACCAAACTCAACTTCATGCGAAACTTGCACAAGCGTGGTCCACGTCACAGAGTACGCGACTCATCGCACGCACTCCTTCACGACCCAGACATGACCAAAGGATTGGACCTTTCCATGGTTCTCCCCCCTTCCGCCAGCGAGTGAGCGAATTCAAGCAAGACCTCGCAGACTAATACACCACGGTCGTCTGGTCTCGAGTCAAGCCATGCAGGAGGTTGGTAATGATTCGAAGCTTTTGGGGGGGCTCTGGGACTAGGAGCCATCGTCCAAACCCATGCCTGGAGCCAGACAGTTACTGTCGCAAACACTGCTGCCAACCGCCGGGAAGGAGACCATGAGATGAAGGTAGACGGACGAATTTCGAGCAGCCAAGCGCTCGCAGAAAGCCTGAGGATGCGGACTGCTGGGCTGCAGAGCTTTGATCGCTCGCCTACTATCCAAGCGGGAACACACTTACGAGATAGCCTCGATTGGTTTGAGCTTGTCATCTATCAGTGAAGCGGGAGATCTAGCAAAGAACAAGCACGCTTCCATCGACACCAGCCAAGTGTTCTCAAGCGGCGTGTAATCGATAGTATTATTGCCGAGCCTCCTGGTCACGTATCTTGCTTCAGAAATCATGGCCTCTTTCGGAGGACGCATTGAGGACGCCGATACTGAAGCTCGACAGTATGAACCATTTTTACAAGCATGCAGATATACCTACCAAGAACCCGAGTCAGCTGTTGCATTGAACAGACGAAGCTGCCTCGTGGCCAAGGTGGTTGGGCAGGTTCCATGGCCTTCCGGAACGTTTTGATCGCCATACTCCTGAACGAGTCGGGGCGGTCCTCAAGGCCATGGCGCACGGGCAAAGGATTTCTCCATGTTTCAAAGTCGTTTCCCTCACGGCGAGAGCACAAATTCTATTATTCTGCCCTGGTCCCAAACACAAGCACCAGTCCCACTGCTGGTTGAGGTTAGCTCTTTCACGGAGCTGGCCTCCTGGTCCTGTTCGATGGGGTTCGGGCAATTCGGCTGGGGAGCGCATTGTATACGCTTGAGGACGCATTTTCTTCCAGACTTGACTGTTGAACAACGAAGGCTGACCATCGCAGATATAGTCGAGATCTATTACGCCAAGGGCACCTTGCTGCTTCATTACCAAAAAGAAGATCTATGAAGGCGTCCCTTAGGGCACCAGACCGTCAAATAAGGGGACCAAAGCTCTGACCGGGTGTTCGGAGGTCCAAGTCGGGCATGAATCTCACCTGAGGGGTTTTTCAAAGTCAAATCGGCCAAGTTTACGTTTGATGTCGATACTTGGGTATCTGGACTTTGGTGGGAAGCTCCATCTATCCCACCACAAGTTCAACGGCCTCGTCGGCCCATCTCTTTCCCTCCAACAATAGAGAATGGGGGAGGGATGTGAGCCTGCTTAGACTCTGCATGCCAGGGAAGAGCTTGTCGTGTTTGACTATAACGCACCACGTTGAATTCGCAGAACAGCCATTATCTAGCAACATTGCAGAAGCAAGAAACGGTCACCAAAGATTTCCGCCTCATTCTCCAATGACATAGGTACAACCCTCATCGCCAATCCATACTTCATGCACGCGGCCGGCGTCCACGTCGATACGATCGCCGACGCCATAAGTAACCTTGTCGGGATTCTTGTCCTTGGGATAAGTGATGGTAAGGTTCCCACGCAGGATCAGATGGGTCGTCAGACCCCGATGCGAATGCGGGGAGTAGTGCGCGTTTCTGAGCTTTGATCGTCAGTTCGTGCATACTTGGCTTGCACTTAGGGCCAGGCCAGAAGGAAAGGCAAAAAGGCAGTGGGCATCACGTACGGTCCGTCGGTCCAAGTGAAGACATGAGGAAACCCCCAAGATCTAACCTCGGACTCGCTATCACGCTGGGAATTGGGCTTAGAAGGCATGACTGCAATATTGGGCGATTGCTGGCTTGAAGCTGAGGGGTAATGTGCGCAAGGCAAAGTTGAGAAGTTCGCTCGTGGCGCGGCGGCGGCGACGGAGGTAGACTGAAGACAGCTTGCGATTACGTCAGAGAAGATCCGATGTCGAGCTCCGTGCAGTCGACCGGGTCCGAGAGCTGTTCGTCGGCGGTTCCGCAGCTGACAGGTATGTTCTTCTCTGGAGGCTGGGCTGAGTCGAGTTGAGAGGAATCTCATTGAGATAGTTCATTACCGGAGTCAATGTTTAGAAACGCCGGGTCGGGTGCGCAGAGGTGGTGGTGGTCCGCGTACTCAGGTCTCGAGAGTCGGCTGCAGTGTGGGGGAAGCCGACTTTTGGGTGCTCGTCCCCCACTTATGCCCCGAGTGCCCCGATGCCGTGTGGCGACTGAAAGGACGGTGGTTTCCGGGAGGCGCAGCAGCGGCAGCCGAGCAAAAGAGATGCATAGGCGCCGGTGGGAAATGCGTGGCTTGGTGGCCAGCAGCAGCAACAGCAAGCAGACAAACTCGGAGCACCGACAAAGGCCCCGTCATGCCACTACGCTCCCTCATTCCTTGGCGTGCGGGTGACAGACTTGACGCCCCTCCCAGCTGGACTTATGCACTGAAGTGGAACATAACAAC